TTTGTCCTTACTAGCATCGTTCCTCATTTCTTCCCTATTTTGTTTCCTAATTTTATTATGGCATCATCTTACTTCAAAATTAGCAAAACCAAGCCATATTCTTGGAGCTTCTTTACTTATAACTTTTGGCATTCAAAACAAAACGAGAGACTGGTCTGCCAGAAGCCCAAGAATCTCTAAAAGTTCCCAAATATGATGGGGATAGTGGATGACTATTAGAATATGGACCTATTAGAATATAACGCTTTTATTGCATTTGGTATTGCATTTAGTGATTTGAAGCAAAAAGAAGTGAATAGAAGGACTCCCAGAGGTTTAGGTGAGCTTTGAATGAGACTTTTTTTTTTCTGCACAGATCGCTCCCTGGGGAAGGAACATGCATTCATTAAGCACTGTGCTTTAAAGTAACACATTATGAATGCTATGCAACTGTTTAAAATACAGTTGCTATCACTCACTGGACTTAAAATATCCTCAAATGCTTTGCTTTATGGAATTAAAAGTAATGCATTATTTTGGATTGTTGTTGCTAAGGTTCAGTTTATGTAAGTGTTTTAAGAAGAAAGCAATCTGAAAAATACCCAACTAGCACAGCAGAGAACTCATTATTCTTTCTAATGTCTCTTTTGAAGATGCTCTCAAAGTTTTTATTCTGTTGATTCAATAAAAGGATAGCTGTTTAAAAATAAATAGAATAGCAAGGAAATGGTCCTTCAAAGCTCTGAAGAAAAGAATTGTTTTGTAACACTTCTCAACAATTCTGCATCACTGGACCTTGACATCCTCCCCTTTACTCCCCCAGCTTGTATACAGATGGGACCATAAATTATGTAAAGACATGTTCTATGTCTATGTGTCCTTTATGATTCCCAGACAATCCTCAGTCCGTATCTTGATGAATACATACTGCCATTTTAATCCATGGGTCTGATACTTCCAGAAGGTGTAGGACCTAAGCATGTGCTGAGCATAGCATGGATGTATGGTAGGTTCCAACAGGTCCCTAATTTTTGTGTCATACAGTTTCTTGCAGAGAAGAAGTCCAGCAAACCCTAGGTGCAAGGGATCTCCCTGTCTCATGTACAGGACTCACACAGAAAGCTCAGGGTTTCAGGAGGGTTTTGTGGTGGATGTGTGGTCATGCTGATCACCCAGCTGGCAACCAGGATTTCTGCTCTGCAGGCCAATGGGCAACAGTCACTGGTGTAGCTGAGAGCACAAACATTTACTTAGCTGAAGTTTCTAAGTGGAACGTGATGACATGACCAGAGGAATTTGAACATAGTCTATCAGATGTGGGTAACGCTTAGACACATGAAGGGGGAAGGGAAACTGCCCATAGGATCCCTGCTAGTTTGGGTCACCAATCCTGGGCATCTCAGTGACAGATTAGCCAAACTGGAGGGAGGGTATTCCACCCTAGCTTTCTGGAAGAGTTCCCTACCACCCCTAATACAACCAACAAGGGTATTTCTTGCTACAGGGCCCCTCACTAGTCTTCTGTAACAGATAAAAATAATTTCATCGCCTCAAAAGAGATTGACACCATGGTGAATATTTCTCTGCAGATACTCCCTGCACAGAAAAATCATTATTCCATGGAGGAAGCAGGGTGCAGTAGTACTCAATTTATGCTAAAATTGTGGAGACAGGAAACCTTTCACCTTTCTGAAACAGGCACTGCAAGTCACCCATCTTAGAACAGTAGCTTTGCTGTGATGTAAACTCACTCATGGTTTACTCTTGCCTTTACTGAAGAAGAAATCAGCTTTGCAGAAGTACAAGGAAAAAAGAAAGCATATTGATTTCTTTATTACTGTGTTGCTGATACTGTAATTTGACCCTATATTCTTAGCCAGAATTTCAAAATACTCCAAATATAGTAATCCCACAGAAGTACTACAAAATTTATCAAAGAAATATAATTATATTTCATTTAGAAGAAGCTTTCTAGATGTTTCTCTTATGTGCAGTAAATATGAGCCCCAGATGGAATCAATTTCATTCTTTCATTTCCTTTTATTTTCTTTACTTTTCAACAGTCTCAATCTTATGTTTAATTTTCAACAGTGCCTAATGTCTGTGTTGCCACGACCTACTGTTATGAAATTTGTGCATCAAAATGAATATTAGTTATTAATAAGGAAAAGAGGAGTTTTAAGCAAACAGAGCTTTGTCATGTTATCTTATACCAGGGCTGAGAACAATATGTAGGTAATTACTTTGGAACAGTAACATTTTAGTCATTTAGATAGTAACTAAGAAACAGACAAATACCTAAGAAGGAATCTTTCCATGATTCTTCTTTGCCTTTCTTTAGGTAAAGGAATTATTCCCTTTAAAACTGGCAAGTTTTGATGCTTTGTTGTTTTTTGTAGTAAAGCTCTATTAAAATAGAGAAGAATGGAGAGAAACTCTTGGCATGAGACTGGGTAAATTAAAGCTAAAATTAAGTTATATAAATCTGTGTTAAGAAGAACAGGGCACAAAGAAGGATGGGGAAGTTTTAAGCCTTGTATTCTAACTTAGGCTGCTTTCACAAAGCAAAGTTGCATCTGGGTTTTTTATAAGTCTTTTCAAAAAATAACCCTCCTGACATATCTTATTCTGGTAGATATTCATGCTTGGAGCAATTTTTAAATGGATGTTTTATTGGCAGCCTAACTTCCTGTGTCTTGGCACTATATAGACAGGACTTAAAAAGCCATTACTTTTAAAGAGCCATTTTGGGACTCCAGATTTGACATTGATTTGATTCAATTCTTTTCATATTTGTATTTCTAAATGCATTTCAGCTGGACAGGTTTTATTAATAAATAGAATTTTGGTACTAAGTTACACATGAGGTTTTAAAATAGCTAAGTACCTGCAACAGTAACAGCAAGAAAAGCTTGCTGATTTGTAAGGAATCAGGTCCTGGTGATGTGGGACATGTATGGTGCCCATGTTTTTCCAAGCATCTGGGTCATCCAAGGTGGGAATCAGCTGGCATGTATGCTATTATTTACTTAGAACCATACTTTTAAGTCAACAGACACACCTTCAAAAGCCCCCATTAGGATTAACTTGTATAGAGATACAAGCTGTAAAGTACAGCTCAGCTGAATCACACAGTGAAACTGCAACACCCATGTGCACCCTGACTGAAATAAGTGTGCTGGGCTCTCTGGTGAAATACCTTTCCTTAGTGCCTCTCTTCTGGCAAAGGAACACACCAGAATAGGAGAAGATGGAGTATGGGCAGAGCATCACCATTCTCTGACAGCTGCTGAGGTAAATGTATTTAATCCTGAGATCAGAAAAGAAACTCTCGATAATCAAATAGCCACAGTCAATGTATTTTGGATCTTCCCATTTCTTCCATTCAGCAAATACTTTTTTACTCGAACAAGACAGAATACAAAAGGGAAAACAATTTGCCTGGATCAAAGGCCTGTGGTGAAAACTCTTTCTAAAACATTATCATTTGGGGCATGCTAACACTGCAGAGCTTCTTCCCAAGATATGCTTGCCCAATAGGAAATGTGGGTGGAAATCTCAGCTACAGTGATTGCACCATCTATAATTCTCAAGTCAGTTAATTTGAAGAACCTTGGAATATATCATGTTGAGTCATGTTGTAACATCTAGTCACAGTCTTCAGTGACTCCAAACTTGCAGTCTACAGGGCCTGTATGCTCCTTGCCAACAGGATACCTTTTTAGAATTTCTTTTCAGTGTTCACTGACAATATTGACTGAATAGTCTGAACAGATGTTTAATAAATTTTCCATTTGCAATTCTGAGTTAATACATGAGAGACTTTCAGTTTGCATGGAAAATTATACATATTTCCAAGCGAACATTTCCAAGCTGAACCAACTGTTGCAGACACCAGATTTTTAAGTGATACTTTCTCATTACTAACAAAAGACTAACACAATCTGGGCACTTTTTGAAGTTGCCCTACATGCACCTCACTTGAACAACTTGCAGTATTTGGAATGAAAGTAAATGTGATACTGAGGGTAAAGTAACACAAAATACAGCATGCTTTCTTGGAATAGATCATGATCTACACAAACACTCAAAATTTGTGCTTTTCATTGCTGCTATGATCCCAGTTCCCTGTGATGCTGGACTGCTGTAAAGAGGACTTTTCAGGGAGTATATGTTGTAACTCCTTAGACTATTATAAACTGATCTACCTCTGAGTTCTCTTCCAGAAAATTGTACAAAACATGAGCATACTCATGAAATTCTGCTGGGAGTGTTATCATCAGAAGCATTCAGGCTGTGCCTATGCTGAAAAGAGCTGTCAGCCTGACGAAACAAAGAGTCCAGTCTGTAATCTGTACACCCATCTACAGCATCTGGCTAGGATTAAAAAGACCACAAAATTTGAATGAGAGGATATTTTTGTGTGTAGACAGGATTAAGGTCTTCAAATGACCCTTGAATGAGCACATGGACAAATTCTGCTATGAAAAAAAGACAACAGCAGTTCTGCACTGAAAAGATTCTCCAGAGAAACTTTCTAGGTCTATGTATGCTTTTATATATAAGCATACATATAAGCATATATATAAGCATATATATAGAGAGATATACTTTGGGGGAGTATATTATATATCCATTGCTCTAAATGTCATATTTAGAAATGCCAAGATGTGTGAGAGCCTAACAGACCAGAAAAGACCTGACTGAGTTTATAAATTCCACCATCTGAGAGAAATCCAGTCAGGTATCTAAATACTTCAGAAAATCTTGTTTCTAAATGCTGAAAAGTAAGTGTCAAAACTAGTAGAAACTCATTAAAAATCCATACTGCTGAACTGTCCAGCCATCTTACAAAACAGCAGAAACCTGCCTGGTACTGGAAGGATTTAACACCACGCTGTTAGTGCTTTCTCATGTATCTTTATCAGATGCATATTTACACAGATCTTTCAAAAGCTTCAAAAAGTAGCAAAAATATTTTTTGTCAACAACAAATTGGTGGTACAAAATTATTTCCTTACTTTTGGGAGGGAAGCTCTTGATCCTGAGCTTTGTGTTGTCATTGTCAAAACTGTAGTGATACCCAGTGCAACTCTGGCTGGAGCAGCATCCATGTTGATCCAGAAAGAAACCCAGGACAAAATGACGATCAGCAGGCTAGGAATGTACATCTGGATTAAATAGTATCCCATCTGACGCTCCAAATGAAACTTGACTTCAATGCATGTAAACTTTCCTAGAACATGAAATTACTTTCATAAATATTTTTTACATCTTTTTATCTTGTTTTCTGAACATAAGTTAGATATGTAGCCCCTTTCCAAAACTAATACTATAGACAGGCCCTGATACACAAATGCTAGTCAGCC